GACTGGGCTGGAGGGTCTGCTTCCAAGGTGGTTCCCTCAACTACCTGACAGGTTAGTGCTGATCAACGGTAAGAAGCCTCTTCTCAGTTCCTCATCATATCAGCCTCTCCAATAGTGACATCTGAGTGTCCTCATGACATGCAGCCAGCTTCCCCCAGGGTGAGTAATCCAAGAGAGTGCAAAAGAATAATTTTTTTTTTTTTTTTTCCGGTACACGGGCCTCTCACTGTTGTGGCCTCTCCCGTTGCAGAGCACAGGCTCTGGATGCGCAGGCTCAGTGGCCATGGCTCACGGGCCCAGCCACTCCGCGGCATGTGGGATCTTCCCAGACCGGGGCACGACCCCACGTCCCCTGCATCGGCAGGCGGACTCTCAACCACTGCGCCACCAGGGAAGCCCAAAAAGAATAATTTTTAAATAGAGTTTTTAAGTGGGGCCTGAGGACAGATAGTAATCAGCAAAATGACTGCCTGTAAGATTATTCATTGCTGCATTAATTGTACAAGCAGAAGACTACAAACAGCCTAAATGTACTTCAAGGGAGAACTAGTTAAAGAAATTTGACAGATACAGTGGAAGAAATAGGATGCTTTTTATATATATATAAAAGGATGTCTAAAATATAACCTCACATGAAAAACATGAGGTATAGAATATAGAACAGCATGTATTGTATGCAAAATATGTGTGTACATGAATACATATGTGTGTGTGCAATATGTATACATACATACATATATATTTATATAAAATACATGATTTCTCTGGAAAGATACACAAGAAACTGCTGACTGGAGGTTATGGTTGCCTCCAGAAATCTAGGAAGGGGCTCTCCATGACTGGGGGAAAGATAGAAAGGGAGACTTTCACTGTATGATGTTTGTATCTTTTTGTTCTTCCACTTTTATTGAGATATAATTGACATACAGCACTGTATAAGTTTAAGGTGTACAGCATAATGATTACATACATCAATGAAGTGATTATCACAAGTTTAGGGAATATCCATCATCTTACATAGATACAAAGTAAAAGAAAAAGAAAAAAACTATTTTCTTCCTTGTGATGAGAACTCTTAGGATATACTCTCTTAACTTTCATATATAATATATAGCAGCAATAATTATGTTAATCATGTTACATCCCTTCCTACTCATTTATCTTATAACTGTAAGTTTCTACTTTTTTTTTTTTTTTTTTTTTTTTTTTTGCGGTACGCGGGCCTCTCACTGCAGCTCCGGATGCATAGGAGCAGCGGCCATGGCTCATGTTTTTTTTTTTTTTTTTTTTTTTTTTTTTTTTTTTGCGGTACGCGGGCCTCTCACTGCAGCTCCGGATGCATAGGAGCAGCGGCCATGGCTCATGGGCCCAGCCGCTCCATGGCATGTGGGTTCTTCCCAGACCGGGCCATGAACCCATGTCCCTTGCATCGGCAGGTGGACTCTCAACCACTGCGCCACCAGGGAAGCCCTGTAAGTTTCTACTTCTTGACCACTTTCATCCAGTCTCCCTCTCCCCACCCCTTGCCCCTGGTAGCCACAGTCTGATCTCTTTTTCTACGAGTTTGTTTTTTGAAGTATCATTGACATACAACACTATGTTAGTTCCTGGTGCACAACATAGTGATATGATATTTCTATACATGACAAAATGATCACCATAAGTGCAGTTACCATCTCTCACCATACAAAGATATTACATTGTTATTGACTATATTGGAATATAGTCAATAATAATACAGTTGATATTTCTACCTTTTAAATTATGTGCTTATTCAAAAATTATTTTTAAAAATTCAGACCAATTGTCCACTCAGAGGGAAAAAAGCCAAAGCCAGAGGAGAAGAATAAAATAAATGACTTAGCTATAGGAAAGATTTAGACATCAGAGAGAACTAGATGGAAATACAACTTGGACAGTTACTGTTGAAATGTGGGAAATTATGGTTTCAACCCCAAGTGAGACTTCCTGTTACCTATAGTCTAATTCTGAGAAAGGAGGCCTTGGGGCAGTGGTAGAATTACTTTGGAAACCAAGACGAAAGAAGTTCACTTTTGGAATTACATAAACTGGGAGCTGGGTAAATTTTAGAGATACAGTAGATGAGAGATCACAAACAGGTAGGCCACTGGCCAGATGCCTATGTGTGTTGTTTGGTTTGAATACTGTTTTTAAATGTTATATGAACCGTTAAAGGATAAACTGAGGCATGTTAAAATTTTTGACTCTCTTTGTGCAAAAATCAATTCAAATAGGGCAGCGCCAAACAGGAAGTGGTTAGGAGAACTCCACTGACTGGAGCCTGGGGAGAGAATCTTATAGAGAAAAGGCAGAAGCAAAGCAATTATTGAATGGTTATAGCTTGAAGTCTAGTTGGCTGTTTGCGATTGGTTGTCCTTAGCATTTTGATTTTGTAACCTTGAGGCATTTATAGACTTAGACTTTGGTTTTCTGAGGCAGGCTGCCATTGAATTAGAGCCCCCTCAATCTAATGGCCTCCTTGTTTAAGTAATTTAACAAAATTAATTGCCCACATTTGAAGATCAGGAGATTTCACTTTTGTTGTTGTTAAAAAGCTAAATATCTGACTTCTTTAGAAATGTTGGAAGCTCTGGTGGAGAAATCCTGCATTCCTATATGACAGCCATGGTAGCTTTGTAGACAGATGCTGGTACTCCCCAGTTTGCCACGGGTCCCCCCAGCAAGCCAGTTTTCATCACCTGATGAGCTCATGTAAGCATGTCAAGTGAGGAAACTAATGCTCAGAGGCAGACTTTGAGAGCTCATGTCTCCCTATTCCTACTCTCCAATCAAGAGTCATAATCTTGGTTTGTGCCACTACTCAGAATCCTGTCTCTAAATTAATGCCACGACCTCAACCCAGTGGTTGGTTCCAACATCCACAATTGGGAAACCTTTGTTTTTGTTTTTGTTTTTTTTTCCTCCCTCAGGAATCATACAAAACTCACCCAGAATTACAAGGACTATATCTATCCTGGGATCTTAGAATCTTTCTATCTCTTTTCTGTTGTTGTCTGGTCCTAGTGCCAGGTCTAAGAATGCTCCCATTTTCTGCCAAGCTTGCAACAGGGCCAGAAGCTTCCTTTGCCATGGCTGAAGAGGAGAAACTTCTCTACACTCTTATATTGTCATTTGGGAACTGTGAATTAAACTGACAAAAGACAGATTAATGAAAGTTCACAGAAAAAGTTGACTCAAGGAGGCGGTTAGAATTTGGGCTTATGTACTATCTTAATGAGATAAGGGGAAGGGGAGCGCAGCACTTATAGGAAAACAAATGACTTCTTAATAGGGGAGGGGGAGAAAGGGCACTTATTGGAAAACAAATGACTTTCAGGAAAGATAAATAGGTCCTTAGGAGAACAGATGGGAGATACAGCTTTGTGACAATGTGTAAGTGTGATGCCCACTTCTAGTCAGTCTTCTCCAGTTGTGGGAGGGGATTTATGACAATTGAGTTCTTTGGGGAGGCTCCACATTTAGGAAGATAATGGAGTTCAGGAAAAAAAGCCAATTCTCAAATGCCTTCAGCTCAAAATAATTTTTATGCTGCAGTGGTTATTCTGGACCTCTTTAGACTTATTCCAAGGAGTGGCCGCTGGCGCTAAGACTCAAAGGAGTTCCCTGGTGCCGACCACTAACCCTTCTTTCCCCCCTGATCCCTGTGATCCACACATCTCAAGATGCTGTTCTGACTGTGATCCACACATCTCAAGATGCTATTCTGAAATGCCACACCTCATAGTGAACCACCTTCCCCTGCTGTGTTCTTTCTGGTCCTGCCCCTTCCCACTGCTTCTCAGGAACCATTGTGGTCTCCACTCCTGAAGACAGTGTTACTCAATCTCCAGATACATGTTAGAGTTCTTACATCTGAAACGTGACTTCATTCTCTGGAGTGAGAGCTCCCCTGTTAAGGGATTTAGAGCAAGGTTTACAGGCACTGGGAAGACTAATTGTCCTCAGGTTGTGAGAATTCAACTCAAACTAGCTAAAGATTAAAGAAATTACTGGCTTACATAATGGCAAGTCTAGGGGAGAAGATGGCCTCAGCCCCACTATTCCAAGTCACCGTGACTTCTCTATTTTCTGCCTTTGCTTATTTACACTCTTGGCTTTTTTCCTTCGAACCCTTTCACTGTCTGACACAAGCTATGTCTAAGGGCACATCCTCAGGTCCTCAGATTGGAGGGAGAGTTTCTTAGTTTACAGATAAAATCCCAGAGTTCCGACCTTGCTTCTATTTCCTAGCAGTTAACTCCTTCCTCAACAGCACAACTGGGATGATAATACCTGCCTGGAAAAGCTGTTGTGATTTTTAAAAATATACGTTAGGGATAATACTGTACAGCGTCTGATACACAGTAGGCGCTCAATAAACATTATTCTGCGCGTGTACAGCAATAATACGTATATACACACTAACATGGGGCCGTTGAGGAGGTTCTAAACGAACCGGACCTGGAGGGCCAGTCATGCCCCGGGTCTCAGCCTTCGACCCTCAAGTCTCTCAGGCTTTGGGGCAGTGAGGCAGCAGCGCAGCTCTCGAAACCTGGAGTCAAGAAAAAGTTCCGCACCTCAGGGCCGAGAGGAAAACAACGAGGGGGACCAAGGGGCGTGCCAAAACCGCCCTATCCCGCATAGAGCGATGCTGTAACCGAGCGGACTGAGAACACCCCCCAGACAGGCTGCGGTGAAAAGAAAGCCGCAGCCGCTCTTCTGTGAGCCGAGACCAGAGAACAATGAGTTCAAGCCCTGCACGCGGAGGCTCGGGGTGCCGCGCCCGGGGGCGGACCCAACTCGGGGCCTGACGGGAAACGTAGTGTCTAAAGCTGTGCCAGTGCAGCCCAGTTGCTCGCCGGCCTGGGCTCCGCGCAACTACAAGTCCCAGCAAGCCCCGCGAGGCCTTGATCAGCCGCTTTTCGCCGGGAAGAGAGAGGGGCGAACATGGCTGAAGGCAGCAGGGGCGGCTCAACGTGCGGCGGCGGGGAGGGTGGCAGGCAGAACCCTGTTCCCAGCAGTGGCGGCTGCAACTTCCCAGAGTACGAGATTCCTGAGACGAATACGCGCGTTTTCCATGTGGCCTCTTTCGGGGAGTTGTGGCTTGGT